TAATAGAATCAAAGTAGTAGTCTGAAAATCATGAGTATAAATGAGATAAAGAGAGAGACGTTAGGTAGAGGAAGATGGTCTGGCAGGGCGTGAACCCCGGATATGTCTAAAAATGTCCTGTAGCAATGTCATAACATCCGTGTGGAGAGTGGTCACATCTGCTCTGAGGGAGATGACTGTATCCTCTAATGTCTGGATACGCTTCCTGAAGTTGTCTGTCTGAGCCTAAGCGTCAGGAATGAATGGATCATCCCGACGATGCAATCTGAAGTCATCAGAAGACTAATGTTCGTCCTGGCTCTGAGAGTGGTGACTCTTCTCCGGAGAAGGGTGTGGTGCTCCCATCGAAGGCTCATGTTCCAAATCAATTCTAACTCTAACTACTACTACCTCTTCTTCCTCTGCTGCATCCTCCACCGCCTGGGCTACCTCTACCTCCAGACTCTTAATAAGAGCATTATAGCTCTTATTCTAGTCCTTCTTCATGTAATGGCACGCACCAGAGTCGACGACCTCCTCTGAGTCAAATGGGTAGTGCTGGTCCTGGAGGATTTGTGTAATCAGGTGGGCATAAGGGAGGAACTTAGGCCACTGTGGGTTACTCTTGCTGATGAAATCGTCATACAGCTTCATCATGACACTCTAGCAGAGTGTAGGAACTGAAAACCAATGCCCTGTATAGACGGCATATAAAGCTACAACCGAATCAAAGAACCACATGCTATCAGGCAGGTAAGTCCGAGTGGCATAAGTGTCGGTGGCAGTGATGGTGCCATGAAGAGCTGTGGCCATCTCTGCAAATGATGGCCTCTACAAAGTCGGGTAATCAATACCTGGGGGGGACAAGTATGTGGGTACTGAGATGTTATCGATAGTGTCTTGACAGTGATATAGATAAGATGCTCATCAATGGTAGTCCACAGCTCAAGCAAGTTACTCGAAGATAGCCCGAGGTTCTGGTAGAAAAGCCAAACAAGTTTCGGGTAGACTGGATTGGTCACTAGGGCCAATATGGGAGAAAGACGGCGACGGTATATCTCGTTATACGACCAATTGGTTATGGCTAACCATACAAAGAAATCCTCATCAAATATAGACTCATGCGCCATTAAAAGGTGCACAAACTTCCTCGGACTATGCCAGGTTGTGCTGCTGGTGGCACGGGAGCAGGTGAAGGAGGTAGCATGGGCTCACCCTCCCTCCTAAGATGAAGAAGAAGGAGAAGAAAAATGCTCGGACCGAGTAGGAGCTGGTTCCTCAGGCTCCTCTATCTGCTGCCTCACCCGGTGCTCATAAGTCTGGTTAGCTGTGGTCTTGAACCTAGTCATGGCCTACAAAAAGAGAGAACACTTGCAATTATAGTCAATAATAGGGAATGATATATAAGATGTTGAATTGAAAGCACAAAAGATAGAAACATATTTGTCATATTAAGATAGACAACATAGAATAGAACACGTGAACCTATCTATGTAGGTGGTAATGTAGCCAAGTATATACAGTGAATGCAACCAATGTGGAAAACACAGGCATTGGGCAAAGATATGATAGAACGAAAAATAGGAGAGGGTATAGGAGTAACAATATGCAAAACAGTGCAATTCGAACGATCATGGAAAAATGTGATCGATCCATGTTGGATCGATCATGACATACATTGGATCGATTGTACTCTGAACGATTAGAGCGCTGGTGTGATCGATCGAACCTGCTGAGAAATGAAAATTCACCTGTTCGTGACGTGGAAAACACGGGCCAAATCCCAATGGCCACTTCAAGGCTCGTGACCCTCGATACACCTCAACAATGCAGATATGGTCACTTAAAACAACATGTGTCCCCCAAATCAAATTCGAAAATAAAAACTATATATACACATATATACATATATACACATGCCCACAATTCCAAAAATGAAAAGAAAGTCAACCTTAAAAGCATGGAATCTAAGCATGGAAGTTGAATAAAACATAAATCAACACAAAAATGGAAAATAAAGGCTAGATGAATCAAAGGATGGAACTTGTTGATATCTTGCATCCATCAATCATGAGCGGCTGATTCTTCAACTTAGGGTTGGATAAACCCTAAGCATGTAACCTAATTCTTAACTTTTCACTTTTGGGGATTTATTTGTGTAATTAATGTATACCCTTGAAATATAAATTAATTTTTTCATTTGATTATTTATATCAATCTCATAGTGTCTTACATGTGATTAATTGATAATTAATCTCTACACTTGATTTCTTTATGAATTAAATCTTGTGATGGCTATGCATTGTGTTAATTAGATGTAATTTTGTTTTGATTTGATAGAATTTGCTTATACGAGATGGATTGCACTACACAGTTAGTTTAATTAGGTTAATTTCTTATAGAATTTAGTTAACTTTAGGCTTAATTAGTTTAATTGCACTTTCATTCCTAAGTAGACAATCCATGCTTGTGCTTGAATTACATGCTTGTTGTCACAATTGCATTATCCTCTAGATTAATGTGGGTTGAAATTGTAAATTGAATTGATGAACCATACTTTGAATTGGTGAATTACACTACACTTAGTTTAATTGTCATTAAGTAGTTGATTCATGCTTAAAATTGATGGTTTACACTTTTCATTGCAATTATTAGCCACATTATTACACATTATTATTTCCCCAATTAGTTAAAAGTAGTGAGTTAGGGAATGTGCTTAGTGGTGAATCCTATACCCTAAGTCTCTTTCCTAATCTTTAAAAATCTATTATTTTGTTGCAAGTATTTAAATTAAAATTAGTTCTAATCACAAAACAAACCTTTCTAAGCAATCACAAAACAAACCTTTCTAAGCAATCACATAAGCACTAAAGTAGAATTCAATTCCAAAAACCAATATATTTTAGATCTCTTAGGATGATCCCTACTGATTTCATACTCCATAGTATAAGTGTTTAGTGGTTTTATGAATTATTAAATATGATGCCCACTTAACATTATTTCTAAACATAAAGTGTTGTGCATTATTTTGTGTACACGTTCGGTCACATCAAAGTTTTGGCGCTATTGCCGGGGACCTAACACTTTAAAGAATTGAATTAGTGTTGGTCCTAAGTTACCTTAAGGAATGTTTGCCTTTTAATGTCAAGAAATTATTGCAATGCTTCAGCCTCGGACAGTGAAGGTTCAGTAGCTACAGGTGCTTAGCCTCGGACAGTGAAGAATCAGCACTTCAGTTTTAGCTACAGTTGCTCACAGGGGTACTATGGTCTCTTCTCAGTTGTATTTCAGATATATATACGTATGCTCAAGTACCTACGTTGCACTGAAATTGGACCTACATTGTGAGGAATACAGCCTCGGCTCTATCACAGTACTGAGTAGAGTTAAATCTGTTTTAAGGGTAGTATGGTCTTTTCTAGCTATACTCAAGAATGTGACACGTCTCAGTGGTCCTAGAGAAGAATGTGACACGTCTCAGTGGTCCTAAAGAGCTGGTATATGTAAGAATATTTCATTCTTAGAGGCTAAGTTTGGACAAAAATGGAATTCATTACTCAAACTTGTAACCTGCTGTAGCTGGAAGAATTGTGACAAAATTAGCTGAGGTGGCGGGTCTGCATTGGTCCGCTGCTCTGAAAATATCTAAAATGTGCTCCTCAATCATTGGCTAGAGGTGATAGGTGTATATCCGTGGTGTGTGAGGCCTTGTGTAATTAAGTGTCACTATAAATATACTGTTATAAGGCTCCTTAGGGTTTAAGCTTCTTTAATTTACATTGCACATTAAGTTGCTGCTGAGAAACCTTGAGTATACTATGTCAAGAAAATTTTTCTCTGCTATTTGATGATGATCTATGCAAGAAAACTCATTGAATCCACTCTGAGGTGTGTACTGATTGCTGAGATAAGGCTGATGCCAAAGAAGCTGATGTGAGGGCTGTATTGAGTAGTGACTTGGTGTTTCAAGCTATTGTGGTCGTTTCTGAAGGTTGACACAGGTATAATGGTAGTGAGGCATGATCCCTCACCCCATTGTTGATTGAGCTATGAGAGCTTATTGGGTCTAAGCGCGGTTGTTTAGGACAGGGGGAGTGCTCGGATGCACTGTAGTATACTAGTGTCTGTGTATTGGTTGTGAACACTAATGTCTACTTGGTATATGGGTGTGTGCAGAGAGTGAGATAGCTAAGTGTGTAACAAGATACATACAACTAGTGGATTGCTTATTGGTCGAGGCCAAGAACCAAGGTTTTCCCTAATTAAGAGGGTTTCCTTGTAAATCTTATATTATATGTTCTTTGATTGCTTGCTTAGTGTGCGAGAAAGTTTTTTTAAAGAAAAGTTTTAACCAATTCACCCCCCTCTTGGTTCAACAATTGGTATCAGAGCTTTGGTCTACATTGTGAGATTCTAATAGGCCTACAGTTAATCCCAGCAATGGATGAAGGTTAAGTTATCAACAAAGCTCCAGGGTTTAAAGTTCAAACTATGATTCTTGGAAAACTAGAATGGAAGTCTTCTTAATGTCTCAGTCCTATAATGTTTGGCATGCTACCGTATATGGTGTTGTGATTCTTAATCCTGATAACCCCTCTGTTAAAGATAAATTGGATATAGCTAATGATGGCAAGGCCAAACATGTTCTCTTCTGTGCCTTGAGGCAACAAGAGTTTACCAGGGTTAAAAATTGTAAAACAGCCAAGGAAATGTGGGATTCTTTTCAGGAAGCTCATGAAGGAAATAAGGTTATTAAGGAGATCAAGATACATCTATTCAAAATTCAGTATGAGGTTTGTAAGATGGAAGAAAGAGGAACTGTTGCTGAGTACATATTCAGGATCAATGACCTTATTAACAATATGAGAGCTCTTGGTGAAGATATTAAGGATGTTGATGTTTGTAAGAAGATACTGAGGTCACTTACTTCTCGATTCAATCCTAAAGTGACAATTCTCGAAGACAAAGATCTTTCTGGAATGAAGATTGACGAGCTTTAGGCCTCTCTCACTACTTATGAAATGAGAATTAGTGTTCCAGCTGTTCATAGAAGAGAAGCTGCTCCTAAAGCAAAGGAAGTTGTTGAAGAAACTAAAACAAAGTCTGAAGATGATCTTGAAGAAGATGAGGTAGCCTACCTTGCTAAGAGATTCAGGAAGTTCAGGTTTTAAAAGAAGAATCAGCTGCAAAATGCAACCTGTTATGGCTGTGGTAAACCTGGTCATGTTATATCTAATTGTCTGAACTCAAAAGGGCAAAGTTAGAAGAAGAATAAGGGAGGAAATTACAAACGAAGGTTTGGTAGAAAAACACTTATCTCAGATTGCGATGCAGCTCCTGAAGAGGATAAATTCGAGGAGACAAAAGAAGAAAAAGTTCTCTTTATGGAAATTCTTGAAGCACCACAAACTTTAGTTCAAGTTAAAGAAGATAATGGCACTGAGATTAAGGAAATTCGTCAAGAATGTGAAAGGCTTATTGTGACAGCCCAAGTTTTTCAACCCGGTGCGTCAGTGATGAATCGAAAGTTGACCCGATAACGGATCCGAAATGCGAAAGCAAAAGATGAAACCAAAGTCTCTAGAGATATAAACCATCTCTAAGACACTAATGTGACCTTCCATGAAGCCACGAAGCTCAAAGAGGACGAAAGCGAAAACAAAGGTCAAAACGGCCAAAAATTGTTAACCAAAGGGCAAAATGGTCAACTCATAATTAAAAGGAGAAATTTGAATCTACACAATTCAAACAAGGTGAAAACAACCTAATTTATTCATTTTACAACATTCTAAGAGGTTCTAAGAACATTGGAAAAGAATCTCACAAAATGTCCTTTCTTGGTTTAAGCAAAAACTGACACCCCCTCACTAAAACATGAATAACTCCCACTGTGATTGGAATCTAAGAATGGCAATAGTACCATTGGAAAGCTGACTCAAAATCCATGAATTTAGGCTCAATAATCACCCCATTTGGATAAGAAATGAAGGAGATATGACCCTTTAAAGTCAAAACAACAGTGTTGAAACTGAACTGAAGCTGTGCTCGGGATCTAGCTATTTCGATTGACCGAAATGAGCCATCGGACGACTGAATTTTAACAAAATTTGTACTAAAAATATGTTTTTAAAGTGTGGTTACTTCGGTAAACCGAAATGAACCATCAGTTGACCAAAATAAGCCATCGGTCGACCGAAATGGCCCTGAACAGTAGAATTGGCTACTAGATATGGGTTTTTGAAGTCCAAACAATTACCAAAAGCTATCAGTTGACCGAAATGAAGTTTCAAACGACCGAAATGACTCGACAAGGTACAAAAACACTTGATATGCACAAGAAATGTTGAAGCTTCACCCAAGCCTCAAACCCCCAACATGAATATGGATCAAAAACAAGATTTTAAGTTATATAAGCATGCTCGCAAGTGTATTTTACATAATGAAGTGTGTTACAATGGCCTATGGCCTCATTACATGACATTTGCTCAAAATCATATGCTAAACCTCAAGTTAGAAAAGAATACATTTCAATGACAAAACTTGAAACTTAAAAGCATACACTTGAACTTTAAGGTTGGTAACCCTTGGCCACAAATCATACATATCAAATAGGTCCCAAATAGTGTATTCAAGTACACTTTACATGTAATAAGACAAAAATGGCATATTGAACCCATCTAAGTGTTACAACATCAAAAGTAAGACTTGAACATGCAAACACTTGCATGTGAACAAGAATGCTTTGAAAGAACTTCAAATCTCCAAACCACCAAGGGTAAATGCTAATCTTCATACCTTAAATCCTGTACCTGAAATATGCCCCAGTAACTTTGGGGTGAGCAACATAAAGCTACTCGTAGGAAATGAGTATGCATCAACCTACGTTTTACAATTTCATCACCTTAAGGTGAAACATATTAAGGGGGGCTGATGCCACCTAACGTCTATGTTAAGATAAGACTCAGGGAGCATCTTAAGCTACCCTAGATCAATTCTAGCATAAATCACATCATTCATGCAATTCCAACAACATAGGAGCATGCTTACACAAAGCAACAAAATGTAGATTCCCAAGGTTATCAACTTGAAATCTAAAAGTATGAAAACAACTAAATATAACAATTTAGTATAGATGTACTTAACAACATCAAATCGCCAATAGCCAAAACCACAAGTCACGATTAAACATGATTGTAAACTTGGAATTGAATGCGAAAACAAATAGTGGAAGACTTGGACATCAAATCCCGGATTTTCGCCGAGAACAAAATGGTTATTCCGGGCACTAACCCGTTGGGAAGACCACCCTAGTGCACACTATCTCAATTGGGGAGAACTCATACCTCCCGCACTAAAGCTGAACTTTAGCCATATCATAGTAACAATGTCCCAAGACTCCAAAATAATCAAATAAGTTCACAACTTATACGTAATTTATATAATGCACGAAAACCACCTTCCATGCACTAGTAGGTTGAAACCACACAATCCATGCCTTAAGTTTCAATTCTAAAATGACATATATAATGTCAACACAAAGTGTACAATTCCTTACACAAGTCAATCATATATTCAATATTGGAAACAAGTTCTCATGAGTATAAATTTAACAACAATGCTCTTCAATGCTTAAAACATAATCAAGTGAATACTCAACAAGTCCAAATCCATGATCTTAATATAGAAGCAACTTCTAAAACATGATTAAATCCATGGATAAACAAGATAGAATTTAGTTAAATCAAAATAATTAAACTCTCTAGATTGCACATCATTTCCAAATGGCCTCAATTTAATACATGTTAAAGGACAAATCATGGTCATTACATATACGCATTCAAAAGCTTAATTAGGCCAATTAAACCACAAAATAGATTTTAATTAATTCATTTAATTAAAGTCTCTAGAATTTCAAACTTAACCAAATGCTCTTAATTTAAAGTATGTTAAAGAACATGCCAAGACTTAATTTAAAAGCAAAACACAAGTTCATTTCACGTAGCCATGGGAATTAATCTTTCACAAAGAAAATATTAAATAAAAGACACAACTTTTATTCAAATAATCCCAATTAAATATATGTTAACAAACATATTAAAACTAAGCTTTCTAGCATGTCACAATTCAAATCCAAGTTATACATCATCATGAAAATTTAATCTTATACAAAGAATTAAATATTACTAACTTTCTAGATTTGATACAAGGAATACATATAGGTTATATAATCATGGGAAACACATAATATAACACACAAATAATCCTAAAACATTCCCTACCTCCATTTGAGATGAAATCTCAAATCCCCACCAAAATGAATGTGCTCCGAATCCGATGAAACTTCTAGGTTTTGTCGAGGACAACACCGTGAACGTAACCTCCAAGGAAGCCCCATCAAATTCACATCTTAACTCAAGAAACGGACAAAACTGAATTCTAATAAGGGGGAATGGAAGAGCACGTCGAGGGGAACAATAAACATAAAGGTACTACACCTTTTCAACCAAGGAAAGGGGCCGAAAAATGAAGAAAAAGACTGGCAGCCTTAGCTTCCATGGATGGCCGGCCAAGAGAGAGGAGAGAGAGAGAAAAATCCAATATTTTCTCTTAAGTGCTCCTGTTTATAGAAAAACCCTAAAAGTGCCCCGAACGGGCCCCGCCGGGTCCGAAAAAGTCAAATTTGCCCAAACGCGTTCAAACGGCAAAACTCAGTGGACAAAAAAGATTCAAAATGAGGAAATAAGAACAACGGAAGAAACAACATTGAAAACTGAGTCCCGAGCAGAAAGTTATACCCCAAACAAGTTTGGCGCTAACCGGGGCCAGAAACCCTGAAACTGGAGATAACAACCAGAAGGAAATTCCAAGAGTACGACTCGACAAAAAGTGAAAACGAATCCCGTACGAGGATTCAGGCTCAAAACAAGACATTTAGCAATAAGTTTCATTACTTGCACAATGGCCCTTCTAAAAAGTGAAAATTGCACAAATGGCCCAGAATGAAAATATCTTCCAAAATATATTTTCTTAAAAACCCCTAAAATAAAATATCTTCAAAAGATATTTACGAAAACACCCCAAGGAAAGAAAAAGTTCCCAAAGAACTTTGCATCCATGCCCCTACGAACACCGGGAGCAACCAGAGTACTTTCTTGCAAAAGTAAAGACACCTATTTCATGGAAACCACTTAGAATGAAGGTACGTGAAGTTAGAGACCAACTTCGAACACAGGAAGTATGGTTATGCCAACAAAGTGACAAATGGGGGAAAGACAAAATAGGGACAAATACGAAATAGGGAAAAGGACAAAAAGTGAATAATGTCGAAACGAAAAAAATGTGGAATTGATTCGGTCCTCAAAGGAAGTTGTCAATCCAAAGAAAAGAGTTTCGGAAATCACTCCAGAGCATTTGAGATGACACTAAGTGACGAGGAACTGAACACAAAAGAGGAAAGACAACAGAAAAAATTTATCCGCAAAATTTGAGGAAAAGGAAAAGGAAGAGAAATGCCGGGTCATTATAACCGTCCCACCTTAAAGGAATTTCATCCCCTAAATCCAGTCCCAACCAACAAAAGGCGAAACCAAGATAACTACGGAGTACATCTCCGAGTATCCCACACAACACGCCACACCAGCGACCTCAAAGCTGAAAGGAACACACAAACTAGGGTCATTTGCACCCACGTGCTCATGACAAGACAACCTCTCAAAGGAAAAGTGACCACATGGCCACACGACAAGTCTGAACTCACACACAGAACCCAAGGTAAGACAAAAGAATGGAAAACAACAACCATAAGTGTCCCTCCTGCTGAACCTCCAAACCGATCCAAAAACAACAACCAAAAGAATTCTAAGATAACCATATATCATATCAGGGTACTGAACAAGACAAAGTGGAAGTAAAAATAGCGACCAGAACCCGCCCACGACGTACTCAAATGTGCGGTAGCAATGACAGTACCTAGTGCCCGCCCACACTTACTCGTCAGTAAGGTAGCATCGACGACAACTAGCATTCACCCACAACACACAACTTTATACGGTAACATGACAGTATAAGGCACTAGTTCATAACCTGTCCCCCACTAGGTCTACCCATAAAACCTCTCGATACAAATGATATCAACGACGCAAAATGATCATGGCCAAAAACAATGTGGAAACCAGGCATCTGTGAGAGTTGGAATATGATCCAAAGACGTTCTAGACCATCCTGGCCAATCCCAAACTCTAACAATAATGTCGTAGGCACCATTATACTTAAGGCCTCAAATCGTCAGCACAATAATCAACAACTCTAACGTCTCAAAATTCTCCTATTAACAACATCAATTGAGAATCCAAAACCTAACAAGCAAATCAAAACCTCCAGAAATCAAAACCAACCTCACCACAAAACATTTCATCGAAAGTCCTACATTTCTCCCTGAAACAGATCAACTACAAGACCAATCACCATGATCAAACATTAGATCCACATCCCT